CGCAGAGCGGGGTCGGCGGATTACAATGTTAGCTGACTGCTGTGGGTGCAATGCTGTATATTGACCTCAGATACTTTCAGTACCCAAAGCTGACTGAGATTGGAAAGCCGCGGCTCATTGCATCCAAGAAGTTGTGCGATCGACCTTGCAGCTTACAGCCGTGAGCTACAACACGCTGCGCAGCTGCAGTTGCGAATTGTGAGACCAACCGCCAGCCTCAATGAACGCAACACGGTGCCACACTGTTAACCGCTAAAGCTGAAAAAATCGCAATTTTCGTTTGTACTGTCAATACACCCTTTGAGTAATACAATGGCTGCAAACCATAAGGGGTAGGAGAGGCAGTCACAAGGGCTGCTGCGACTGATACTAATACTACTGCCGCTACTGCTACTTCTAATTACTTCTACTTCTTCTTCTTCTTTTTCTACTACTTCTACTGCTGCTACTACTACTACTACTACTACTGCTGCTGCTGCTACTACTACTACTACTGCTGCTACTACTACGACTACTATGATGACGACGACGGCGCTGACGACAAGGAATGACGACCAGCACCAGTACTGCTTTCCCAACCGCTACCACCACCAACCTTGCTATTCGTATTGGTTATGGCAAGGCTTATGAACTGTGGTGGGGACGGCAATGTTTGGCAATCAGCTCTTCAGATGCTCGGCTCGATTGCCTCTTTGGGTTAAGGGTGCCCTCCCCCAGCAGGCCCAGCTGCGTAGTTTTGACGATGCGAACCAGAGAGAATTAAGAAGCGCAAAGTCGCCGTCATCAGTTCTGATTACAGCTGATATTGGTGTGGTTGCTGGTGGTGGTTCTCGGTTGGGGGTTGTTTTGTAGTATTGGCTGATGCTGTTGCAGTGCAGGAGTCAGGTAGTCCGCGGCAACAGCTGAACAGAAGTTCCTGCTGCTGCTTGAAGTAGAAGTTTTGTGGCAGGAGTGCCTTAGACAACGAGCAGTCCTAGCATAAGCTGGCGTGTGGACACTAGACTCGCAGCGGCGCTCATCATTCAGAACTCACGGCGTCCTTAAGTTGAAGCAGGCTGCTTCGAGATGCTCACCTGCGCGGCATTCAGCGCGACATTGTGTCATGGAATACAGCCACGGCAGCTGCCAAGGACATGGATTTGCCTTGCCACTGCTACCATGCTCCTATTTTCCCTTCCTAGCATGTCTAACCCAACCTGTGACACTGGCAGTGCAAGAGCATTCTCTCGCATGTCAAATGAGGCAGAAGCTTCATTAGCTTTATGCCTAGCTCTGTCGCACACCAGGAGAATTGGATTTCCGCAATTCAACTTCTCCAAGTATCACACTCACAAGGCTGCTGCCCCCCAGACACTTGCAGTGAAGCTTTGTGCCAGGTGCAAATTAGCCCGTTCATCTAGCGGTGTGCTTGCTTTGGAAAGCTCAGGTTGGGGAGGTAAGGTGAGGAAGTCAAAAGCACATCAAGCCACCTGCATTCGTGATGTGTTCCACTGGGATTCCTGAGCCACTGCCCCAATGAACATGCGCAGGTACAGAGCAAGATGCCATTTCTGTTGGCTCTGGTTCAGACGCCTTTGCGTCAACAAGCGTTTGGAGGGATGCGCTTCAGTTGCTACGCTCAGCAAGTAGGCGAGATATTCGCAGCCTTCTCGCATTTATTTCTTGGATAGCCTGCGCAGCGAACTAACGCCTGATACGATGCTGATAGTTTGCGTGCTGAGGCATTGACATCCTGGGACACTGTGCCCTTGCGGCCTCTTGCGAAGCTAGCGGGCAATGGACGCAGGCATCCAGAACATTGGGCGTAAGATGCTGTGACATATTGACACTTCAAACCTCGTGTCCTGGAGATGGGGGGGCCCTCTTCAGCACTACAAAACAAAAATCTCCAAGCGGGGCGCATCCCGACTTTGGTTAAGGCATTGGCCTCCTGCCGGAGGAGCAGCGACCAAGGATACCAAGCAGCAATCAAAAGTGAAGCGTCTGAAAACCGATGGCCTGTACATGAGGAGCTCCCATGTGTTGAGCACATGTTTGGTATACCTTCATGTTTGGAAACTGCCAAGTTAAGCTTAATCTGGCAAAGAGCAAGACAAGACGACACGTTTGGAAGGGCCACTTGCCATGTTGTCCAGAAATGACTAAGGATCCATTTTTTGAGGAACTGAGTAAGCGCATACAAGGCATGCTGTTGGACACAGCACTTGCTGGCGCTGGGATCACTGCCTGCAGCTCAGCCAAACTCTGGGAGGCCTCCAGACAAGCGGTTGAAGTACAGTTGAGGTATGAGCGACAAACCCTGGAATGTTAGGGAGAAATGCTTCAGGTATAGTATGCTACCATCAGTGTGCTTCGAGCTGACGGCCTGGGAGAAGTAATACAAAATGTGCGAGCAGCGTAAAAGTTTGCGTGTGCAGCCCACCTTGCATCTTGCCTCCAAGAGAATACAAGCAAGGATGGCAAAACAGCCTCGGCCAATTTGTGCTTGACTTGCTGCTTTGACTGAGCAGGCGGCTGCGAACGCCATGTTTTCCAGCATGGAGCTTTGGTCACTTCAAGTCGATGTGGTGTCCTTCGGCGCGACTCTGCATGCATGCGAGCTGGGTGGGTGCTGGCACTCTTCTTTGCGAGCCTTGGCGGCATGGCATCCAGACTGCTCCCTTCAGGTTGCAAGCAACGATGAATGAGCTGCAATCATCGTACCGTTTTTTGCAGGCCTGCTAACAGCACATCGACAAGGTGCACTGGCCCACAAGATTTCAGAAGTTGCAGCTGCATAAGCACAGGGACGAGCAAGGGCGTTCTCCAAGCCACCATTGCCTTGTGTTGCCAGACCTTGCTTCTATCGGCTGTTGCATTGGACGGCTGAGCTTGCTCAAAAAGCGAATGCCAAGGAATTGTGCAGCAGATGGCGATCCTGTTTGTTCGGCAGAATGTAGTGCTTTGGATTGAATGACTTTGTCTTACTGGTGGGTCAGCTGAAGGCACCCCTGAAGTGAACGCTGAAGCAATCTAAGGTGGTGCTTGGCGCGGCAGTATCCTCTTGCAGGCCGTCCTCAAAGCATGGTTGGGCTCGAAGATGAGTGTCCTTCACGGTCTGTGATCCACCCATGTTTCAAACCAACATATTCTTCTGCGCTGTCTGGCTTGTTGGCAGATGGGCCTCGAAATGGCAGTGGGCAACACGCATCTCGGCATGGATGCTCAGAGTTAGGCCCAGTGCCCTAGATAACATAATCCCAGTGTACATGTAGTTTACTGGTTGAGTGTCCATCATTACTCCAAACCTTATCGAACCTCGCAATGCTGTCCGAGCCATGTAGGTGGCAAACCCAACAGATGGATAAGCTCAGATCTCCCTGTATACCGTATACCCTATGTATACTTGAAATCCTCTGAACCCAGATAGGGGCGTCCTGCAACAACAGCAGGCCTTCAAGCACAAGCTTCCTTCAAGCCTGGCCAAGCCTCTGGGAATGCAACTAGCCGTGGACTTGCGCAACTAGCAGGAAGTACAAATGACAATTAGAATGATCATGACTCATGACAAAAGATGGCAAAATACTAGCTCAACCCAGCAACGAGACAATTGAAGAGCCTGGCTGCTGATAGGTTCTTTTCAATGCCCACATGGGCGCCTGCGCCAGCTCTGCGCAATGGCGAGAAGCACTAAGCTGCTGTCTGAAGGCGCGAAGCACTATGGGCGATCAGCTTGTCGCACGTTGTATGTGCCAACTCGGCTGGAAAATCTGCTTGAATCACAAAAACTTTGCGGCTTTTGTTGGAACAGAACAAGCTGCAGCCCCTGGCTTCGGAACAGAGAAATGGTACTTTCCCGAAATAGGGGAATCCTAATATAGACCTTAGAATATTACAATCCTTATTATGGGGACCCCCCGAAGCGTACCCCTAATATTTGCCAGGCTGAGAGCCAGTCGGTCATGCCGGACAGCATCGCACTGAGCACCTTGACGACAGCCTGCGGCACCTGTGGCCAGTGGCTTTTGGCAGTTACAGTTGACCAGAGGCTGGGTCCTGGCGGCTGCATGTGGCAGGCATCACATCAGGCTTGTGAGGCTTCTGCAGAGAAACCATAAATTTTGCATGTAATGAAAGCATTTCCCGAAAGAGGAAGCGCAGCAGCATATTTTTCGGATGATGCTGTTGGAAGAATCATAGTTTATCGCTTCGCAAAGCCGTAGTGCCTCACTCATGTGCCTTTCAAGGGTTGATGCGGAACGGTAACAGATACTGGAACTAGAAGCTCTTGGCTTCAGCAGGGCATGGTTTCAACGCATGCGTGCCATGCGGTGAGTAGAACGCATGAGGGACAATCTCTGCGTGCGATTCGCGTCAACAGGCAGGCAAGGGTGGTCAAATGTTGACAAACCCTTCGTCCTGCGAACTCGTACAGAACAAGCTACCAAGCCTGGGAGAAGAAAAGCTTAGAGGCAGCAGAAGAGAAGCGTGACAAGGCTGTAATGCCCATTGATGTGGAGCTCAAGCATGCTTACAGACGCAAACCCTGTACACCTGCTACCACGAGCATCTTTTGCCCTCTCCATCCTTCTTTTTGAACACGAGGTGGAAATGGCAAGTGTTGGGGTCAAGGTTTTGGTAAGGATTAACGGGGCATAACGAAGCCGTCAATGGACGGATTTCACAGGCGGTTGGACATCGCGGAAGAACGGGCCGCGAACTTGGCTTCCAAGGGTCCTCAAGGTTGGAATAGGTCAGGACATGATACCGGGATTATGTATGCGTTAGACAGTTAGACAGAGCCTAATGACAGAGGGTGTACGGGCTTGTGGGCTGTTGTCTCAAGATTTGAGGATTTCTGTGCGATGAGGCTCAAAGGGGGGTGCTAACAGGACCTTCCCTTGCATTTGCCATGAAGAAAGTGCTGCTGTAGTGACATCCCTGATCACTGCCCAGAATCCCTCGAGACAGCAATGGCCCAGGAACTGGATGCCACCTCACTGGGAGCTTTGGTCCACGCAATGGCCACATCCTGGCAGTGGCCACTTGCTGGACTTCTACTCGTGGAGGAGCTACCACAAACCCGAAATCCAGTTTTACCCTTGTCTCTGCTTCACCTCGCTGAAGGCAGGCCGCGGAAATCTTCGACCAGATGCTGTGAGCCTTCAAGAGGCTTGGGATGGGGTTGACTTCCGTGCTATGACCCTTCTGGAGTAGCTGTCAGCTTTACATTTGCAAAGTAGCGGGGCAGGGCATGGAGCAGGAGCCTTACCCGAGGTGGTCAGCGCATGCACTCAGAGCGGAGCTTTTGCTGTTGCAACTGGACTTCTTCATGGAACCCGCTGCTTGGCTTCCATGCAGTGGGCAGGCTTCATGGTGCGCATGAAAATTAGGTAGGGAAGCGCTGGTCGAGCCCTTACAGAACCCTTACTTGAGCTTTCATTAGTTCGCTACTTGTTCTTTCAAGTCCTTCCTGTGGTTTGTGTTGCTTTCATCCTGGCATGGGTCATCGCAGGAAAGAAACCCATTCCTGATGCGTGTGCCAGATGATTCGAACCCTGAAGCCCAAAACCATCATTACATATCATTATTATTGCTGCTACATATACCATTTGCTGTGAGTGGTGCCTTCGGGGTAGGTCTGCTCTTTAGAGTAGGATGAAGACTTACAATTCCAGATGAACTACTGCACTTAGTTGCGTTTGCCATTCGCTGGGGGTAGTTGATCACTTGCCTCTGAAGGCCTTGTCGCTGTTCCGCTTGCTATGAACCTGGGGGGGCTCTGTCAGTACAGGTTCATGTGAGCTATAGATAGCGATAGCCTACACTCCTTACACCAGTGTTCTTTCGCCTGAAGAAGTCCAGCAGCAAAAAAGACTATAGCTTATGTGGGTTCTCGGATGGTCAAATGCCGCGAAGTGGAACATTACTTGCTGCGGGGGTTTCCCAAGATGAAGGCTACCTTTTGGGAGTCCCCATAATACGGATTTCAGCATATTGGGGTCTATATTGGGGTCCCCCTTAACCCTAAATCCTGTAATATCTTAGGGTCTATATTGGGGTCTCCGTATTTTTGGGAAGCTTGTTGATACTCAACTTGTCTGTGGCTCAAGATACAAAAAGCGTTTCAGGTCTTTCTGCTGGTAACTTTAGGTTATCAGCCGTAGCCTAAGCTATGTCTCGCCTACCCGCCTTACCTCCGATAAGTCCTGCAGGCGACACTCTGGACTCAGGTACAATCGCAGTCGCTAAGGCCAGCCAACCTTCTAGCGGGTCAGCTGCGCCTCCGCCTACTGCACCTGCAGAAGTGCCAAGACTTACCGCTACTACCATTCAGCATCTAGACAGTGCAATTGCTGTTCCCATTGAAGGCTCAGACATGAGTTGGGAAAATGATGGTTATACGGGCTTGGCCACTCCAGTCAATGTTCACACGGGTAACCATATGACAGCCAGTCAAGTTAACAACTCGCTCTACGATGTTCGCTCAGTCAATCTTCAGCAGAACAATGTGTTAGTCACGCATGACCGTACTGCAGACGTTGAAGCTGTGGCAGAATCTAGACATCGTCAAGAGCTCATGAAGTATGAAATGTCCTATTCGGAGAGG